CCAAGGCCGACCCGTATAGATGATACGTTAGTATTGGAGTGTGGGCATAGCCCGTACCTCATAGTTGATTTTGATTATGATATATGCTTGTATGATAGAATTGTTTATACTCGTTGTCTGTGTGATACTTGTATGTTATGGTTTAGTAGCTGAGTGTGGGCGAAGGCCCGTATCTCAGAGATAGTGGAGTGTGGGCGAGGCCCGTATCTCCCAGCTAGCAGAGTGTGGGCGAGGCCCGTATCTCCATGAGTGTGGGCAAGGCCCGTATCTCCTAGCTGTTCATTATATGTGTATGGTATGTGGTATGATGGGGGAACTCACTAAGCTTTGTGCTTACGGTTTACAGTTTTGGTTTCAGGTACTCGTTTTCAAAGGAAAGGAGCCGGCTTGATCGCAGCGCATCACACTATGTTTTCCGCACATGAGATCTTTGGGATTACACTTTGATATGGTTTTATGATAATATGTTTTGATTATTGACACTTTGGTTTTGACATGAGATATTAATATGAATGTTTTTATACTGATTGTTTTATATAATAACTTAATTAAAACGAAATTTTTGTCCTTGAATTTTGGGATGTTACAAGTTGGTATCAGAGCCTTGGTTTGAGGGATTCGGGCACACTCTCGGGTGTGTCTAAACTCAAACTAAGGACTTGGTATGAAAATTTTCAAAAGTAAAATCATTTTATAAAAAGAAATTTGAAAATATTTGAAAAGAGAAAAAGGAACTTTGAAAAGAACAAGGTGTGTGATGCGTGCAATCAGCCGAGCTCAAGTAAGTTTTCCCCAAGATACCCATACATGTTATGATATGATTATGAGAACTGCATGCTAGATTAGGGCTAAGGATCTAGGAAGGATGCCTTATATGCCTATTGTATGTGCTTGTAGACTTGCATGCTAGTACTGATCAGTCAGTGATGGATAGCCTGTTTAGGTTATGCCTGATTGTATGAGCCTTTGAATTGCATGTACAAATTCCTGATTAGAGGATATAATGATTTGATTGGAATATGATGGTTAGATTTTCCATTGTCTGAATGATGCTTGCTTTGTGCTTTGTGGGACTCTTAGTAATGTGAGCTAACTATTAAGTGAATATGCTAAGTCACATGAGACACAGGCCGGATAATCTCAGAGTGAGAGACTTGACCCTATTGCGCAGCTCTTGTCTGAGTCCAACCGTTCTAGGGATAGGTCTATTACTCGAAGGATTATCTGATCTCTGTTGCATGTGGCTATATTCATGAGGTAGCTAGTTGACATTACTGGGAATCTTTCAGCAGCTGAGGACTGGGTGAGTTCGGGAACCTAGGAAAGCCTAGGATACGTTTCAGTGGGTTAGTAGTGAGGCTCAGTGAGACTTGGGTGTACCAGTTTGAGGAAGTGACTTAGAGGATTCGGGAGGATTGCTGAGGAAAGTATGGATAGGTGTGGAAGGTAGTATTGGGTCCGTACTACTGAAAGCACAGGATCCATACTCGAATCAGTGAGAGTCTTGGAGAATCTAAGCAGCTTCAGGGAAGAGTTCGTGACCCAGTTTGGGGACAGAGGGTGTTCCAGTTGTTGCAGCTTAGCCATTGGCAAGCGAGATAGTTAGCGTGACAGGGTGTCAGACCCTGAAGGATATGATTTCCAAGAAGTTGCAGATGCGAGATCGATTTGGAGCACCCTAGAAAGAGAGGGTTGTGCTAGGTGGGTATAGTAGAGGATCCCGGGAAGAGACCCATGACTTCTGATCATCGGGTGAAGGGTCAGCAGGGCCAGAGTCAATGCAACGCGTGCAGGGCAGTGCATAATGGAGTTTGTCGCTCCAAGGGTTTAGGCTACTACATGGTAGCGAGGTTGGTCATGTCAGCAGAAAGGGGATCAGTATTCCTCCAGATGTTGCGGGTATCTAATTTTCCATTGCTATTAGGTGGATGTTTGGAATACGTATCGCTTTAGAATTGTGAGTGAGTTTGGATAAGTCAGACCTCTGGTCGGTTTTTCTGCTAGTGTTTGGGTTATCAAGGATCATATATGCCATCCTGCATGCTGAAAGGTCCTTGATGAACCCACAGAGGGACGCATCTTGCAGAGTGGGTTCCGCGTGTACCGTTATCATTTCGGATCTTTGTCGGGATCTACGCAGGAGTATTATTTAGAGGATACTCGGTTAGGGTTGGAGTGGTAGTTCTCCAGTGAGGTCAACGTTCAGGGATTCTATCATTGTTCATGTATGGTGGTTAATTGTCTATGGACGAACTTTGGAGTTCAAGGAACTACCGTTGCTAGGACAGAGCTGGTGACATGAAGAGGGTAGTGTCAGTCGCGGGTGTTAGATGCATACGTGGTTGGTCATCGCATGATCAAGAGAATTGTATTTTCGCATGGGCTGTGTTCGGTTAGAGTTCAGTGGTACTGCAAGATTGGAAATGGGAACGAGGATTCGTCAGCCAGAGTGAAGATTGAGACCTTCAATTGACAGCAGGGGAGATGGATTTAGGTGTCAGATTGGACCAGATTTCAAGAGTACTCTTCACGATTTCAGAGGATGGGTGATCTTAAGGTTTGATTGGTGATGGATCGCTAGCATTGGTAAGTACAGGTTATCGTCAGTGGACTATTAGGAAGTAAGAAGGATTGGGAATCCTTCAATTCCCACGTACAGTGAAGACTTAGTCGAATCTAAGTGGGGGAGAAGCTTTTCGTAAAGTTCTCCGAATGTGAGTTCTGGTTGCGCAAGGTGCAATCTCTTGGGCACCTTGTCAACCAGAAGGGTGTTCTGGGCGATCCGGCCAATAGAGGCCGTGATGCAGTGGGAGATTCCGAGGTCTCCATCCGAGATTCGGAGTTTCCTGGGTCTAGCGGGTTATTACCGGAGATTTATTTGAGAGTTCTCTGAGATTGAGGTACCCTTTGACCCGACTGACCAAGGAATCGGTGGCCTTTCGCTAGGGACCTGATCAGCAGGCAGCCTTCGACACTCTCAGGCAGTGATTGTGCAAGGCACCGATTCTCACCATGCCAGAGGGTGTAGATGATTTCGTGGGTTACTGTGACGCTTTGATCATGGGTATGGGTGCGGTACTGATACAGTGGGGTCACGTGATAGCAGGTCCGAGAACCAGGTTAGAGTTCCAGATAGGACTTGAGTTCAGTTGTGTGTTAGGTCGAGTGCGTGTTTGACCGGTGCGGAAAGTGTTGTAAGACTACGGGGGTAGCCGTAGCATTCACTAGCAGTCAGTTAGTAAGGGAAGTGTTGTAAGACTGCGGGGGTAGCCGTAGCATTCACTAGCAGTCAGATAGTTTGGAAAGTGTTGTAAGACTACGGGGGTAGCCGTAGCATTCACTAGCAGTCAGATAGTTTGGAAAGTGTTGTAAGACTACGGGGGTAGCCGTAGCATTCACTAGCAGTCAGATAGTATGGGAAGTGTTGTAAGACTACGGGGGTAGCCGTAGCATTCACTAGCGGTCAGATAGTGATCAAGTGTTGTAAGTCTGAGGGTATAGTCGTAGCATTCGCTAAGTTGGTGGATATCATGAGCGTGTTGTTAGGACGCGAAAGGAACAGGAGTACCCACCAGTTCGGGTGTAGCAGTGAGGATATGAAATTCCACGGATTGGATTTCGGGATTACCCAGATGGGTTAGATTTGGTTGAGTTAGTGATAAGACTGTAGGAACGCCACTACAATTATGAGATCAGAAAATCAATGGACCGTATGAGGCTAATTGTCATATAAGTCTATCATTGGTTAGGTGGCAATCACTTTTAGTTTTGGATTTGATGATGTCAGGATTCGACGCATGGACCCGATCGGTTAGATCAGAAAGTGGTAGAGTCGCAATGGTATGATAACTAGTGACAACTAGTTCCAGAGAAGGATATCGTTCGGAAGTCGTGTGAGGCAACTAAGTGGGAGTCCTTGGGCTCTGCAGCCGGGCAAAAACCCAGTATTTTAGAGGATTGGCGAGTGAATTGAGACCCATGAGGTCTCAGTAGCTTTTTGGAAGCAGCCATGTGGCAGCATACTGCTTCAGGCAGTTCAGTGTTTGGGCAGTTTCAGCGTCTGGGCAGTATTAGTATTTGTGTTTGGGGTTGCAAGTTCGGACGGAATAACGGATTGTTTGGGTTATGCCAAGTCACTCGCAGCGGAATTAGTTGAGCTTTGGCCGAGTCTAAGTGTCATGCAAGGATAATTGGGTCTGTGACCCTGTTTTATAGTGGGAACCGCGAGTGATTGGAAGTTGAGTAGTCAATTGTGAGATAAACGAATTGGATTCAACGATAATGATTATGTATGAGTGGTCTGTCAGGGAAGCAGACTATCTCAAGGCAGCAGATTTCAGACGAAATGGTTGGGCGAGTAAGGAATGGTAATGAATGATTTCGAGGACGAAATCTAATTTAAGTGGGGGAGAGTTGTAACACCCGTTTATTTATTAAATAAATAAATAAAATAATGAGCGAATAGTAGCCCTAAAATAAATAATTATATATCAATGGATGGTCTCGAGGGGCTAATTGTCATAAATTTAGAAGTTGAGGGCTGAAGGGTAAATTCCGGACCTTAATTGAAAAGAATTTGTCAAGCATTGGGCGGTTTTGTAAATTCTGGATTAGTTTTGTAAAGATTTTAGAAGATAGGGGCTGTTTAGTAAATCTGGACTTAATTTGTAAAGGATTTATGGAATCGGGGTTAAAAAGGTAAATTTCGGACTCATTATGAAAGAATAAGGAAAGGGAGGGACCAAAGGTGCTGTTATGGAGGAATGTTTGATTGGATATGGGACTATAAACCCGTCATCTCCTCCCAACCCTAACCCAGATGTGCACAGCCGCCACTCAAGTTCATCAGCCGCCACCACCGGTTCCTCTCTTGTGTTTCGACCAGATAGAGCTCCGACTACCGCCGCCTGCTGCCTCGACATCGAGATGTCTTCACACCTTGCTGCCGGACGCCATGCACGAACGGAGAAAACCACCGAGAGCGACTTCCGGGTGGCGTGATGGCGTTCTCAGATGCTCCTTCTCCTCTTTCTTCTCCTGCTCCGCCTTCAGCCAACACCGCCGATGTCGCTATGATTGTCAAACGCCGCCACCTGTTGTGTATACGTCGTGAGGAAATCGGAAGACCGACGGCTTTAAGGAGCTGTGGTGGTTCGGGGTTGGACCGCTACCTCCCTTCTCTATGTCTTGATGCCGATGCGCCATTCCAAGATGACAAAGCCACTCTTGCTGTCGTTGACGCCGATCCAAGCTCCGTTGCTGTCGGCTGTTGCGCCACTGCCGCTGCCACTCACCTCAGGTGGGTGGCTGGGTTCGTTTTTCTAGTAGAAGACATGAGTGTGTGTGTGTGTGTATTACAGTGAAGTGGTGTTTGGGTGTTATTTAGCCGGAATTCTTGAAGAACAGTCACCACCACCGTAAGGTGGTGGCTGCCACCATGTGCCGCCATGTGTGTGTTTATCTTAGTGAGTTGGTGTGTTTTTACTTGAGATTTAGCCTTGTAAGATGTAATTGGAAATGAAATAATGAAAAGAAATTGAAAACCACCACCGGCCGCCGTGTCGGGTGGCGGTGTGTTTTGCCTCGTTGTGATCGATTCGTTTGGGGTGCTTGAAACCCTAGTGGGCCTTGTAAGCCCGAATGGGCCCAATGAAGCTTAACGGACCCTAATTGACCCAATAGAACCCTAATGGGCTTAATGATATTCTAGTGGGCCTAATAGGCCCAATAAAGCCCTAATTGACCTAAAAGCCCAACAAATTGATAAATGGACTAATATTTGGATTGGAAACCCTAATTAGGATTTGGAAAGCCCTAATGCCAATAAAACCCTAATTTAGGGAATTAACCGAAACACGTGGGAATTATTTAATAACTTGAGATATTAAATAATAATCATTGGTAAAGATTAATCTAAGCGATATTGGACTTAATGGATTAAGTCCTTAGAGGATTAAGTCCCTAATGGGTTAAGTAAAGGAAACTTAACCCTAATCGTCATTTTATGTGAAACCCTAATTTCACTTGGGTTTATCGTTGGGCCTTTCTATTGGGCTTTGTGGTAAGGCCTATATGAGGAGTTGGGCCCAATTTGGAAAATTAGGCCATAGATGGGCCATAGTTTGGACCTTAATGATTATATGATGTTGGGCCTTAGAGTAAGACCATGTATAGACGTGGGCCTAATTTGGAAAATTAGGCCATATGTTGGACTTTGAGCCATAGTTGGACTTTTGGACCTTAGATTGGGCCTTGGGCTTGCATAAAGCCAACCTTGGGGTAATGTAGTAATTATCCAAGTGAGTATCTATGATTATGTGTTGGGACCCAATTATTAATTGGGTGATGTTTTGGTGTTGACAGTTCGGGAATCTGTCATCCAGCAGCTGGGGTTGAGTCTGCGGGACTTCAGCAGTGTGAGGTGAGTTTCCTTCCAGTAGGAACGGGTCTAAGGCACCAAGGTCGGCCCGTATAGATGATACGTTAGTATTGGAGTGTGGGCAGAGCCTGTATCTCATAGTTGAGTTTGATTATGATATATGCTTGTATGATAGAATTGTTTATACTCGTTGTCTGTGTGATACTTGTATGTTATGGTTTAGTAGCTGAGTGTGGGCGAGGCCTGTATCTCAGAGATAGTGGAGTGTGGGCGAGGCCCGTATCTCCCAGCTAGCGGAGTGTGGGAGAGGCCCGTATCTCCATGAGTGTGGGCGAGGCCCGTATCTCCTAGCTGTTCATTATATGTGTATGGTATGTGGTATGATGGGGGAACTCACTAAGCTTTGTGCTTACGGTTTACAGTTTTTGTTTCAGGTACTCGTTTTCAAAGGAAAGGAGCCGGCTTGATCGCAGCGCACCACACTATGTTTTCCGCACATGAGATCTTTGGGATTACACTCTGATATGGTTTTATGATAATATGTTTTGATTATTGACACTTTAGTTTTGATATGAGATATTAATATGAATGTTTTTATACTGATTGTTTTATATAATAACTTAATTAAAACGAAATTTTTGGCCTTGAATTTTGGGATGTTACAGCAGCAGTCTCTAAGGTATACCCCAGAATGATATCGGAGGCGAAGGTCGACTCATCATGGAACGAACTGTAACAGCCCGAAAATCCTACCATAAACGACGTTAGTTTTTTCCGTTAGTCAAAGGACTATTTAAGCAAAATATTTTAGCTTTATGAGGTTAAAATAGAATAAATTAATTAAGAATAGTATTATTTAATATTTAAAAGAATTAGGTAATAATTAAAATGTTAAAGAAAGTGCAAGGGGGTTAAGTCACAAATATGGCAAAGTATATAAACAAGTCTTATAAAATGCGAGGGTTTGGAATAATTCAAATATAAGTAAAAGGTTATTTGTGATTAAAAGGAGAGAGTCGAGGGTCAACTTTTGTAAATTGGTCACTAAAATGAATTCATATGATTCGTTATGTATCCTCCTGATAAACACTTTCATGCCAAAGTATTGTCACGATAAATATCGACGCTTTGTTGTTCATAACTGACACACCAAAATAATTAATTGGAAATAAGTGGAGGGCTAGGAAATGAAAAGAAAAATACTTAATAAAACCTCAAAATTCATAACTTACGGGAGTAATGGAAAATTGAATTGAAACCACAATCAATTTCGTGCGTTTCTTTTTCTGCATGCGTTTCTCTTCTAGTATGTATTCGGTCAGTCAATAAGCCTCATACCCACTTGTTCGGTATTGCTTGTGGATCAGCAGTAGGAGAGAAAAGAAAAAAAAAAAAAAAGAATCGATCCTCAATAAGAAAATAGACGACTATCAGTGTGAGGAAGGGAAAAAAACGATTGGCTAGGGAGGAGGAAGAGGGCAGCGAACCGGGAAGATAAGGGGGGAGAGAAGAATTTGTTCTTGTTGATCCTAGGAGGGGTAGAAGCTGCGAAATTAAATCCAATCTTTGGTAAAACTCTCTACTTCTTTTTCTTGTCAAGTTTACACCTCAATTGCTTGTAAATTGGGTGAGTTTTGGTATCGAATTCCTCCTCATTTGATGTTAATTATTGTGTCTTCTTCTTCCTAGAAACCTTGAAGGTTCATATGGCTCAATTTCACTTTTATTGGGTGTTCATGATGGCTCAATTGTTGTCAAAATTTTTATGAACACCTTCAATAAGTTTATTGTTCAAGTTCATATTTTGATCAAAGTTTTGGAGTCACAATCTTTGTTGTTGATTTCTAGAACATATGTTAAATTCCACCATGAATCAAATGGATATGTTTATGTGATTAAATCATGCTATTTCTGTTAATAAGTTAATTTTTACCCTTATAGGTGTTTTTAGTGATGTGTTAAGTGGTCAAAAAGCCCTTGAAACCTAAAGCTGGAAAATTCAGCAAAAATTACCAATCTGTCCCTGTATTGGAAAAATTATAGAAAAATTACCAGGACTCAAATTAATGATCCGTAAATTCTCAAAGTTTTAATTTTGAGTCTAGTTTATCCATAAAATTTTCCAGAATCTTTTGTTGCATCTAACTTAGGTGAAAAATCGCATTTTTCACCAGCTGGTCAGAATTTAGCTGCATTGATAGGCAGATTTGTAAAAATCATATAAAATTGTAGAAAAATCTTTTGGACCTTCAAAAGTACATTATGAAAAGATAAAAGTCTGGACTTCTGTAATATGAAATAGAAACGAAAGTTATATAGGTTCTAGGTTTGCTAAAACAGCTCTAAACAGGTGGTTGTTTTGAGTTCAAAACTGAGAATTTTAATTGTTAGTTGATTTATGTGTTTGGATTATAAATTGGTCATCTTTGGCATTATAGAACTCAAATAACCTTGTTATTTGAAATTTAATAGGGGCAAGGGTGATATTTCAACCAATACAAGATTTGAAGTGTGAGTTGGTCACATCTTTGGCAAAGGTGAGTCAACTTTGTGGTTTTAAAAGTACATTGTTAGGAGTATCCCATATCTTAGATGGATTGGGATGAACCTAGTTATCTAGGATGCATGTACCCCTATTGATGATTGAATGTTATATCATTATTATTTAAATATTTTATGTATAATGATATCTAGGGTGTTGCATGCTAGACTCTTTCTTGTTTGGTGTGAGATGTGAGTTAGGGTCATGCTAGATTGAGTGAAGTGTATGAACATTATGTGATGTGAGCATGTTAATTCTTATTTGAAAATATTTGTTTAAAATGTTTTAGGACAAGCATGCTAGTGTTGTATCAACTTCATTGATGTGTTGTGTATGAAAGTAGTGTGCGATGTAAAATGTAATAACTTCATGAAATTACATGTTTGCATGAAAATAACCCTTAAGGAGGTAATATGTTAATAAAAGAATATTCATAATAATTACATGATTACTTGAAAGGGTAAAAGTGTAACTCCTTATTTAATTAATCATTATTAAATTAAAAAGGGGAACACACTAGCGGGGCGAAGGGTAGAAACCTAGACATAGGTATATACCCAATCCAGATATTATGATGGCCTAGTGGGTTGAAAGATACCTATAGGAAAAAGAGTTTAAGCCAACTGTGACGCTGACTAGTTTTTCTAGACAACCACTCGGGACATGGTCTTGGTACACCTTGATATACCGGGACTGGAGTGATGTTGGTCAAGTGGTGGGACCAGCGCAAACATCACGTGGGATTTGGGAGTTGTATCTGTTGGAATTGGCACCGCTCGTACCAATCCTGAACGACAACGCATGTATACGTATGTGCACAGTCGGAGTAGCGAACGCAGCGTACCGGGGGCAATGATTACGGATGAGAGTCGCGCCTCACTTAGTGCATTGGGTCGTGCCAGTCACGTTAGTAGCGAACGGGGTCTAGTTTTGGGGAGGTTTTTGCCGTGAATAGAAAGACCCTAACTAGGAGGTAGTACTTTAATAATTACAGCAGTGAACGGTGAGTAATTATTAATGTAAAGCGGAGAAACAAAATATTATATAATAATATTCAAGCGGTGAATCGATAAGATTAAATTAGTTACAGTGGCATTAAGGAGAGTAACTAATAAAACAAGCTCTAACTGAAGAACTAAAGTAAATTGAGCTAAACCTGTGTTTGTTATGTGGTGTGATTTTGTATGTATTGCTAGTGAGTCTTTGACTGTGTGTGGATGTATTGTGTGATTCTGTCTATGATATGTGTGTTTTCTTGACATTGTACTATATTGACTCACTTAGCTTATGCTAACACTTGTTCTTTGCTTGTTGGCTTTCCTTGTGTGTTGGAACAGGTAGCTTGACATGATGCTTTGGTGAGGATGAGAGCTTTTGGGTAGTCTTAGTTAGTATCTTTAGTTATGATACCATTTGGACATGTGGAGTTTCATTATTATGTTTTGTGAACTTTAAATTTTGATGGGTGTGTTTTGACACGAAAATAACCTTGGGTGATGT